TGCTCAGGCACAACACTATGAGCGGATGTCTAGGATCTAATCGGAAATTCTGCACTTTTTGCTCTGTATCTTCTAAACGGCTAGACTTGCCTATACGCAAAACTAATCAGTACGTCTCCACATCAATACGAATCGAATATTTTTTGAATCATTCAAATCGGCCGATTTGTTCTCTCAGAACCTGCCATTTTTTACACTTTTTGCTCCGTATCTTCAAAACCTCACACATACACACATACATCCATTTTCTCTAAGGTATGCCAAAATATTCAGAATCCTTTGAAACGTAAGGATATATAAAAATTTTCATTTTCAACTTTTTTGCGATACTAATTCAAGGCAATATATTTTGAATAAACTACCTGGACATTGATATTGTGGAATACAGGATTTTGTTGTTGGATTCCAAACAAATCCTTCGTCGCAGACACATCCTTCCAGAAGACAATCCATGGATCCATACTCTTTATGGGAATGATTTGGATTATCACATGTAGGATTACAGGCCAAACAGCCCATGTGTTGGTTTTTACCACATTCTAGAAAAAATTAAATTTTATGCAATATTAATAATATTCTGAAATATATTTTTTGAACAATTTTTTTTTCTTAGTTTTATTTACCTTTTGAAGCAATATCTATTCTAGTACTATTTGCAGGACAATTTTCTCTAAGAACACAATTAAAGTTATTATCTCGAACAAATCCATCTTGGCAAGAACATATGTGATCGGAGCAATAGTTGGAGCAGTTAGAAAACACTTTAAAGCCGGAACAAGTTTCGTCACAGGACCCACAACCAGGCTTTTCGTTTAAACCACATATTATTTCTCCATTGTGGACATCTGAACGAGTGTCAGCTAAAAATTTACAAAAAATGATTAACATATTTTTTTTTAAAGAAAAAACATTTAATGGTGATCTATACTACTAATACTACTACTAACAGGTTCACTATACAAATTTCGAAGTGCAATTTCAAAAAACTTTTGCTAAAAATTATTTGTTCCTAGTAAATTAGATTACAAAGTTTGAATAGTATAAATTCTAGTATTTGAAATTAATTGTTATACATTTTATTAAAAGTACTAATTTATTAATACTTCTAATTGGAGCTCGAACCAGCGAAAATCTGTGTTAACAATTTTATAGGCATCTTCCATTATGGGCATTTATTTGTCCAAAATTCGACATATTTGATGATATTATTAATATATTATAATTTCAATTTTATTTATTTTATCACCTAATTTTTATTATTTCACATACCAGTACACAAAACAATCAACGAACAAAAAATTGCAATATTAAAATTCATTTTTCATGCACCACATTTCTCACCATTTCACAAAATAGATGCAAAAATTCCAGAACGTGTGTTTTAAGCCAAAATTATGTTAAAAATATAAATTATTATGTAATGGAATAATTGTTAAACCATGCATCTCCAATTTGTGCATGTTGTAATGCAGATGAATTTGTTTGATAATTTGGAGACAAAATATGGGAAAAAAATAATAAAATTATTTCTAAAATTTTTTTAGACGTCATGAAAAAAAATGTCTTAAAATAATTTAGAACACAGAATAAACATTAAAAAAATCAAATAAATAATACATTTTGGATTTTCTTCATAATGTCTATTTATCAATTTTTTTACTTAAACTATTAAGTATAAGAAAATTTAAAAAATAATTGTTAGAATTTTTAAAAACTATTTGGTCCTTAAAAACTATTAATGGTCTTCAACCAAGAAAATTTGAAAAATATAAATTTGCAATTAATCTATTTTAGGAAAATCAAATTTGTAAGTAAACTGATTTTCTCTCCATGTTATTTATGAAAAAATATTCTGCTTATATGGATTTTAGACGTACAATTATTTTACTTATGAATATATTTCATTTTAAATAAATACTCAAAGACTGATATTTTGAAAATTTCGATCATTTGAACAAACTGTGATTTTTAACTTCATCAGAATGTACCAGCAACTCTTTTATTAAACTAAAAAATTCTTAGTGTTTATCAAATATTCCGGAAAGTCAATAATCTCAAAATATCTATCCAAAAGCCATTTAAATCAAAAGTATTTATGTAAAATTCTGTTAAAACTCTTAACTAAATATTGACAGGTTTGATGATGATGTCGTTTCCAGATTTCAAATATAAACAAATTCCATATGTCGGCCTTGAAAAAAATATCAATATAAGGTATGACAAATCGTCGGATGCTGTCCACATTATCACGACAGAGCAATTCAATAAATAAATCATAAAAAATTGTTATAATAGGTTTCATAGCTCCAAATAATATTTGTATGACCACCAGAGTAAATAGTAATAAACATAAAATCCATAAACTTGATGAAATTTATTATAAACAGTATTGAAATGAATATGTTTATTAAAGTGGTTTTCGTTTTTATAATAGGATGCTATTTTGCAAATGGTAAGTAAAGAATATACGCTATTTTAATAAAATACTATTATATATTATATAATACTAATGTATTTTATTCTGAAAAAAACAAAATCATAAATACGACATACAGAAATATACCTAGATTTTAATGAGAAAGTTAGTACATTTTTGTAGTTCATAAAATCAGTTAGAAAATCACTTGAAAAATGATACGACAACAACACCTAAAATTTCATATCATATAATAAAAATAAATTTATTTTAATTCAAGGACTGAAATTTTTTATAAATTCCAGTTTTTTTCTGAATATAGACAGCATGATATATTAAAAAATTGTTCTTAAAATTCTTGCAGTTTTTTATTTAGTTCCAAAAAAAATCACCGTAAACTAAATAATTTTTTACCAAGACATGATTTGATCTAAACATTATTAATTATGTTTATTTATATATTTTGTTCAGTAACAAATTTCTAAGAAATATTTTGCAACTGTTAATTTGTTAAATTATTTAAAATGATAAATGGCGATTGTATCAACAATTATACATGTAATTAAAATTATTATTATATCTAAAAATTAAATAAAACTATTATTAGTTCTAAGAAGTAAACAATCAATAATCGTAAAGTGAGAAATCATATGTATGTGTATATAAAATGCTACATGATGCTATTTTTTTTTGTAATATTAACATTGTGAAAATGACAGAGAAATTGATGTTTTAGAATATATATTGTACATCAAATAGTTTTTTCACATTAATGGTACATCAAATTTAATCAGTTCTTCATCTTGTCAATGCAAGTAAAATGTTTTTTGAATTATTAGAATCGAACGCTCCGTTCTCTTACCGTTTTTGGCACTTTTTGCCCCGTATCTACGGAACGGCTAGACCTGCCTTCGCCAAAAACTAATCAGCACGTCTCCTTATCAATGCGAATCGAATGCTGTTTCAATTATTCAAATCGGTTGATCGGTGTTCCCGAAATCGTCGACGAAAATTTGTATCCGAACACACACACACACACACATACACACACATACATCCATTTTTTCTAACGTATGCCAAAATGTTCAAAAATCTTTGAAACGTAAAGATATATAAAAAATTTCATTTTCGATTTTTTTGCGATTACTATAACTTATCCGATGGGAAGTTAACAAAGCAGATTTTGTTCCGAAAACAAACTGCTCCTTTTGGAAGTTAGAACTACTAGAACCAAATTAGTAGACGTTATGGCACAAAACATAAATAAATTTTCATTATTTTAGCTCAACTTGTTCGAGAATGTCACGATTTAAAAGAAAACGGAGGTACCTGTGACCATCCTGGTATGGAATTAGGAAAATGCAGAGCAGTCTGTCCAGGACCAAATTCTGCATCATCGACTTGCCTTGGTGACTGCTGCAGGTGCAAAGAAGGATATGAAATGGATTATTATACATGTCAATGCAAACGTATCTGTAAATAAAAAATATATATAATAAAGATAACCTGATATTTAAAATTAACTCTTTGGGGACGGCTGTCCACCTGAGTGGACAAACATACTCTGTGAGGCACAGGCTATTTTATAAACAATGACTCAGTTTGTTCAGAAAAGTTGAATAAACTTCATATACCAGTGATAAACAGTGTTGTATTTTGAAAATAATTTTAAGGTATTTTAGTAGTATTTTTAGCGCTTTTCTTTGCTATACAGTCTTTTTTTTTAGAATTTAAAACGACCGAGTGCTTTTAAATATGGCAAAACAACTGGTAAATTTTGTTAATTAAGCATTAGTGGAGATGAGTTTCAAACAGACATTCATACAGACAAATTTTACGAAATTATTATTTGCACCGATGATAGTGATGAATGTGATGATGATATTATCCAACCAACAAAAAGAAGAAGTTTGACAAATTAAATGAAGAGCGGAAAGATATTAGCAAATGTGCCGATTCTCCTTCAATAATCGAGTTTGACATACATCAACAAACACCCAGAATACAAATACCAAGCAATATAAAACATCCAATAGATTATTTTACTTTAAGGCAGCAAACAACACTTTATTGTAAAACATGTCAAAATCAACTAGCCATGCACTTTGGAAATTGTTTTGAACGTCACCATTCTTTGTAAAATGATCAAAAATAAATTAATATTATAAATGTATGTCCTTCAATGACCACAAATTTTTATCAAACAAATTGCATAACATACACAATGAAATCAAGTTTGCAGCCGATACAGTTGATTGTTTTGAAATCGGTGCCGTCCCGTAAGTGTTAAAATTAATAAAATCATCACATCTGATTTTACAGTATAAATAACCAACCTCAACTACAATTGATTAGTGCAAAAGAATTTTCTTTGGCAAATATTTCTTTGGAATTTGTTTTAATATTTCAAAATACATAAGCATATGCATCACTCGATAAATTGCTGATGAATACAATCATGGCATTCTCGTTTGAGATAATTTATTAATATAAAATGCAAACAAACACAGATATCCATAGCTCAGTCATGATGTTTACTGTTTGTTTTGTTATATAAGATGCTAATTTGAAGTGACTTCAGTATTCAGAGAACTCCAAGGCAAGACGAATCTTTATCAAATTAATTATTAACAAGTAATTTGTTTAATTAACAGATATATTATCAATATGAAAGGTGCAACTTGTGTGTTTATTTTGAGTGTGCTGTTTTGTGTTTTTGAAGCATGTAAGTAGATATGATAGTTATTATCGTCTTGACTTATGACAAATGCGATAATGATTTTGCTTTATGATTTTTTTAATATTAAAATATTTATAAAATATATACAAAAATTGTAATTAATGTATTAAAAAGTACAGAATAGTGAATAATTGTCTTCTACCAGCAATCTTGTAACTATAAAAGGTTCAAAATAAAATCGATACTTGATCTATGTCCATTATTGATTTATGATGAGGTTTAATTTTAAATTTTAATTTTATTAATAAATACAAAATATTTTAGTTTTGTATTACAATCAATAGATTATTGTTTTAATTTTTAAATTCATAGAAAATAAACTACAAATTTATTTTACCAACATGTCATATTGAGAAATTCCCAAATTTTTGCCAAATGTCCTAAACTAGACAGTTAAAATTTTTGTGAATTTGAAAAACTTTTGATTTTTGATAATTTTAAAGTTTTTGAAAAAAATTACATTTTGATAATTCCTATCAAATTTAGATTTTAATAATTAATTATAAAATATTTATTAATTGGATGAGCGTACATCCAATGGTAATTTTTGACCGCCAACTGGCATTATTTTTTTACTACTTTTACTGGATCTCCAAAGTCGATAGACCTGCCTTCCCAAAATTTATACAGCTCTTCATCTTGTCAATACAAGTAAAATGTGTTTTGTATTATTAAAGTCGCACTTTTTGCCCGAATCTTCGGAACGGCTAAACCTGCCTTTGCCAAAAACTAATCCTCATTAATAGGAATCGAATGCTTTTTTAAAATATTCAAATTGATTGATCTGTGCTCTCAAAATCGTCGATGTAAAATTTGTATCCGCACACACACATACATACATGCATACAAACACATACACACATACAAACACACACACATACATTTATTTTACTAAGATATCTCAAAGTGTTCAGAAACCTTCGAAACGTAAGAGTATATAAATATTTACATTTTCCATTTTTTGCAATTTCTATAACATTACCCATAGGAAGTTCAAAAGTTCGAAACTTTCAAAAAATTTTAATATATAAAAAAATTAATTTTTTTCAAAATAGTCAATTTTTTTTTCAAAGATCATAAAAGTCTCAAAAATTTAATTTCTTCAAATTTTTTGAAATATGTTAAAGCTTTCTTAAGAACTTATAATTTGTGGTACAGGAAGTTTTCGAATTGTCCTTAAGGCATAATTTCATAATTCTCAAAAATGTATTTTTTTTCAAACTTCTTAAAAAAAATTGAAGCTTTTAAAAAAAAATAAGTTTCACCAATTTGCCTTAAGGCACAATGTCATGCACAAATAGTTCTACAATCGATTAATATATCATTTCTCTTTTAGCTTACGGTTTGGTTGAAAGAGAATGCGACAAATTAGAGGAGCACGGGGGACATTGTAACCATCCCAATATGGAGCTAAAAACTTGCCCTCAGGTGTGCCCTGAGCCCTTTGTTTACTCTTCATTTGCCCATTGTATGGGAGATTGCTGCCAGTGCAAGGATGGATTTAATATGGATTTTTCTACTTGTGAATGCAAACCATATACAGACGCCATAGAACAATAGATATAAATGAAACTTTCATTTTGTAATAATAATTATAAATATATAAAAAATAACGCAATTTGTTTTGCATGTATATTGGTTGAACAATAATTTTATGCGCTCGATTAAACCGTCATAACATTGGGTCAAAAATTGGGTCATAATCATAAGTTGGATGTTTTTTAAAAGACTCAAAAAGCTAAACGTTTTATAAATTTTGTTACCATTTTTTTTGTTTCTTTCTTTAATAATAACAATCTGACTTTACACAATAAAAAAAGACATTCAATAATTCTGAAGATATATGAATATTTACCATCTATTCTAAAAGGATATTCATTAGTGAGCCTTTTTAACAATTTTTAATCAAAGACTATTTACATATATTAATTTAAATATTAAGCTTATTACAGGTCAAAATTGGTTGCACATTGACTTTGTTGTTATACAGATTTTTTTTTGCAAAACATAATCATGAATTGATAAAAATCTAGTATCAATTAATCAAATATAATACGTAATATTTCTTAACACTTCCAAGAATTATCCTTAAGTATGCAAAATGACCTCGTCATTATATAATATTTATTTATTATATGAGATGTTATAATGATTTGATTTTAGTTTCGTCTGTATTGGCTTGCCAACCACATCTATTGATAAATTACACATAGACAATTATAAATTTAAAAATATTTGGCTATAATAATCAACATGAAACTACTACTTTTATTATTGCATTGTGCTTGGTAATTAGTGCTTTTACACATTGTGAGTAACTATAATTTAAAAATGTTTTATCTTCAAAAATGCTCGTTTTTTGTGTAAATACAAAAATCAGTTAAATTGACAAACGTTTTTATATACTTCCAAAATAAAATTTATATGAAAAAGCATTCATTTGAAATTAATGTCAAATAAAGTTTTAATGAATAAAAAAAAATCGTTTAAAATTGAAAAAAAATAAGGAATTGTCAAAAGCCAGAGTAAAGACTAATGAACAAAATAATGCTAAAAACATAATAAATTTAGATCAGTATTTTGTGGTCAATTTTAAACTATAAAATTTATGATAAGTTTTTTATAGGAACACGTCACTCATTCAATATTTTTTTTAAAGAAATATTGTAAATATGATAAGTTTTATCAATATAACAACGAAATTATTATAAATACATCCTAAGTACATTTCCTAAATGTAAATACTAAACAAAACAATCTGGTTCAAAATAGTTTGCCTCTTTGTCATCGATATTGTATATCAGAAATAGGGTTAAAGTAATTTCAAGTCCACTAATCAACTAGCTTTTTATGGTGAGCCCTACCATAGAGAACACTGATTTAAATTAACTTTATAAATAATGCGGTTAACAAAATTTAAAAAAATCGTATACAATATTTCATTAGATTTACCTAATATTTGCATGAGTTCTATTATTTTAAGGTTACAATTGATATAGGCAATGTGAAAAAATTAAGACAATCCGCTTAAAACAATTATTGAAATCAATAAAACGGAAACTAAATTAATTTTTACTTCGTTTTGATGTGGAATATAGTATTTGCATATTCGTGCATAAATAATAAATTATTTATTACCTTCTTAGGCGATGGTTTGGTGGTCAGAGAATGTCACGACTTAGAAGAAAACGGTGGTCATTGCAACCATCCTAATATGGTTCTTGGAAAATGTCTCAAAGTTTGTCCTGGACCACATTCAGCTTCCTCAGATTGTCTTGGAGATTGTTGCAGATGCCAACAAGGATTTACTATGGATTATGCTACTTGCCAATGCAATCCTTATACTGACCCTGTAGGACAATAAAATAAAATAACTAGCTGTAAGTGGAATTCTGTCTTAAGGCAATTAAGGCATCGTGCCTTAAGGCAAATTGCTGGAACTTCCCGTACCAAAAATTTTTTTTTTCAAAACAATTAACATTTTTGAAAAAAAAAAATTACTTTGAAAAAATAAGATTTTTGAGAAACTATAAATTGGACAAAAAATTACTTTTTTTTGAAAAAAAATTTTTTTTAAAAAAAAAATTTTTTTTTAATTTTTTTTTTTTATTTTGACATATTGTGGAAGATCTAAACTTTCTTTTCAAAGCAATCGTACTGCTGTAACTGCATAGGGACAAAATATAAAGCGCGTAAGCGCCGCGTCGCTGTCTAACGCATAAGCATTGGTACGGAACCCATAGGAATGTTAACAAATTGTATACTTATTGTTAAAATCTCTATAAAATATCTGATAATTTGATGAGCATATGTCTAATGATCATTTTTGACCGCCAAATGGCTCATTTTTTTACTTTTTCCTCCATATCTCCGAAACCGCTAGACCTACCTTCATGAAAATTTTATCGATTCTTCATCTTGTCAATACAAGTAAAATGTTTTTTGAATTATTCAAATCGGACGCTCCGTTCTCTCAAAAACTGAGTTACCGTTTTCGGCACTTTTTGCCCCGTATCTTCGGAACGGCTAGACCTGCCTCCGCCAAAAACTAATCAGCACGTCTCCTTATCAATACGAATCGAATGTTTTTTGAATTATTCAAATCGGTTGACCCGTGTTCCCGAAATCGTCGACGAAAATTTGTATCCGCACATACATACACACACATACATACATACACACACACACACACATACATCCATTTTTTCTAAGGTATGCCAAAATGTTCAGAAACCTCTGAAACGTAAAGATATATAAAAATTTTCATTTTCGATTTTTTTGCGATTACTATAACTTACCCTACGGGAAGTTAATAAGATCGAAGAATATTATAAATCTATTCTTTTTAGGTCACTATTCATAATATTTTTAAAAGTTGTAACTTCAAATATATAAATTAAATAATAGCAATGCAACTTGGTACCTAATTTCTTATTACTGCAATTTCCAGGACACCAAGTTGATAATAATTTACCAACTCGAATATTTTTAATGCTAATTATAAATAAGTTACTGATTATTTTAGCTTTATATAAACAAAACGTGATCTAGTTGTTTAGATTTCTAATTTCCTACGTAGATGCAAATTCTTCCATCTGTTTTACGTTTATATTAACTTAAACGCAACTCAAGTTTAGTTTAGCTACAGATTTCAAATATATAACATCAGTTTCATAAATTATAACTAATTATAAGTGTAGAAATAAAATTGAATCAAACGTTATTGAATTTATAAGTTAAAATGAAAAGTGGAAGCTACTATTTAGCTTTGTGCATTCTGATTGGCATCTTTATTAATTGTAAGTACAAATGTATATATTAGGGTGGTCCTTAATATAAACATTTTCGAATTTCCTTGCTCCCAAGGGCTCAACTGGTTCCAAATTGATAAGAAACAATTCTATGAAAGTTTTAGCTCTTAATATTGTCTTTCAATTCAAATTCAAATTCAATCAAAGTTTTGTATGGAAATTGCATGAAAAAATGTGAAAAAATTTTGCAGAGCATCGAATTTTCAATAAAAAATGACACAAATTGTTACTTTTAATTCATTGGTCGCTAAGTTATACCTAAAAAAATTTTTTTTTTAATTTTCAAAATTTTTTCCATGCCATTTCCATACGAAGTTTGAATGAATTGCGCACTATCTAAAAGTTAATATCAAGAGCTAAAACTTTCAAAGAATTGTTTTTTATAAAATTGGAACCATTTGAGCCCTTGGGAGCAAAAAAATTGGAAAATGTCCATATTAAAGACCATTCTAGTTTATATATATTATAGCCATTTTATATTAAGCAATTTTAGTTCATTCTCGTTCTTTAATATTTCTGATATTAACTTATATCAAATCACAACATATATTTTTTTGCTGTATTTTCAATCTCTATTACAAAATAAATTTATTAATACATAGAAAAAAAATCAAATTCTTAAATATTATATATATGAATGAAACGGAATTGGTATTTATATGAGGTTATCAGATCGTAGTGTTATTTGTGAACATTTCACTCAAATATATGAGTCCAAATGAGGGTCTAAAAATCCTTAAAAATTGATCACGTGATTAAGGTCTGCCCCCCAAGCATATTATTTGCACACAAAAATTATTTTTTCATAAGAATTTGTGTTCAGTTTTGAAATACAATTATATAATAATTTATTTTGATCTTTACCCAGGTTATGGTACATTAGTAAGAGAATGCCACAAATTGGAAGAAAATGCCGACACTGCAATCACCCAAACATGATGTTAGGAATTTGCCTTCAACCTTGCAAAGGGCCTCATGCACCTTTTTCCGATTGCATAGGAGATTGTTGCAGGTGCAAAACAGGATTCAAAATGGATTATGCTACTTGCCAATGCAATCCTGAAAATAATGAATGAAAAATATATATGAAAATTGAACAGTAGAAGAACATCAGTTAGAGGCAAATTCTTCGATAAATGAGAATCCAAGAAAACTCATGATAAAATTGTTATTTTGACGTTTTTGCGTTTTGTAGGTTGGGTATTATGTGTAAATCACACAACAAATACATTTTGACAGTTATTACTACCAATTTATATGAAGATAGCACCGTAACATTTGCATTTTTCGAAGAATTGGCCTTACCTAAAAACAATTTATACAAAAATTATGTAAATTTAGTATTACCTAAGAACAGTTTATAAAACAAATTATTTGAAGAAGCATGGTTGTAACATTTTATGAATTAATGTATTTTTATTCATCATACCCAATTATTGTTTTGGCATCCGATTTAGACATTCTACAAAGGACTGTCAAAAAATTTGCTGATTTTTTATTATGTAAAAGGTGCAAATGTATATGATACAAAAAGAAAAAAAAGTATTACTTAAATTACTTAAATTAATTATTGCAGAAATTTGAATATGAACTTTAGAGGTTTATCTGAGTATAATCATTTTTTATATGATTCCTCAATGTCTTGTATTTGCTATAATATTCATTTATATGAAAGTATGTTATCATATTATGTAATAAATATTTACCACTTTCTAGAAAGGTATGTATTCCTCAAGGTACAGAGTCCAAATGACAAATGTAATATGAAAGAAATCATTTTTATACTAAAATTCGAATTACGTCACAATTTGTCAGGTCCTAACTAGTAATTGATGAAATCAAGTTATTGTATTAGATAATACTAATTTTAGGCTTAATATTGTTTCAGAGTTATATTTTACTGTAATTATCTAAATCCAATTAAGATAAATTATTTTTTGTAATTACTGAATTTAATATTGTATCCGTAATATAAATATAAATATAAAAATAAGTACAAATATAAATATAATATGAGGCCCGAAAACGTAACTGGGATCAATAATCAAGGTCTAATAATGTGTAATATAATCACCTCAACATGAAATTAAAATCTGTATTAAAATCACTTAGAAAAAAAGAAAATAATTGATAATCGCATTTTTGTAATTTATATCCCAACTTTTGAATATCTGAATCGTTAAGTTATTAATTCAAAATCACTTTTTATACTAAAATATTTCATAAACCAATATGTATAACATTTTTCATTTGTTTAAAAAAATAAAACAAACCTATTAAAAACCTAGTGCATAGTGTAAATGTACGCTTTTCTATTACAAGTTACATAAATACTTCATAAACAAATTAGTTAAAATTTCTCATTTGTTTAAAACATATCAGGAATTTGGTTATTAAGACTTCTTACGTAAATTTTTATCTGATTTCTTGCACTCAGATAGGTATATTAAAGCACGAAAAAATATTGCAATTTGCACATTCAGTAATCTGCAGACTGCATACAGATCATACAAAAATATTAATCGGAAAGAAAATTTGGCCTAATTGTGGAAAAATGAAGATTATTTTGGCTTTAGTCGTATTGTGCATAGTGGCGAATAGTTGGGCAAATGGTAAGTGGAATCAAATAAAATTGTAGGTATTATACTAAAAATATTTATCTGTATAAAATATATTTAAACTATACTTCATACTTCAAATATACATATATGATTAATTTGAGCAAGAGATTTGTCTAAATTTCTTGTGAAATCTGCATTTTTAAAGGTGCCTTATATCATAGTTGATTGAAAAGATGAATTATTCGAGATTTTTTCAGTTTTTTGTTATATAAAATATTGTTTCTACTCAATATAAACATTTCTTAAACCGCGCGACATTTTTAAATGGTTGGTTTAATTTTTTATTTTAATTACTAGATGACCCGACAGACGTTGTCCTGTACCCATGTCTACAATTTTTTAATATTATATACTAACATTTATTGTTTACCTAAAAATAATAATTATTGTTTTTTAATTACTCTTCACGCCAAAATGCATATTCATTTATAATAAGAGTTATGTTAAATGCAAAACTGCTTTAAATAAAATGATGAGTCTCAATTCCCACACTATATTGAAAATTGAAGTCTTTAAAATATAACCATAACCATAACATAACACTGGTACTTCATGTTGGATTAAATTAATTTAATTTTTTATTATTTAAGATATCCAAAATTGCATCTTAAACTTCTCCTAATCGACATCGCGAGGGCCGAATTGTATGTATTCATCTTCACTTTTCCATTTGTTGTAATAAAGTGAAATTTTTACGAATTTTAAAAATATTGTGGAAGGATTAGTAAAAGATGCAAAGAAATTCTATATTGAAAAAAAAAACTATATTGAAAATTTAATTTCCGAATCTTGTGTTGGCGCCCCCTAAGTCATGCGCTCGTATTTTTCGCAAGCATTAAAGGTAGGACCGGCTATTTAATACTTAATTTCATATTTTAAGTAAATTAATTTGTCATATCCTGTTCATATGTATATCATTCAATATGCCATACATATACTGTATTTTGTATTATTTTAATTTCTGGCACATCTCAGCTGCTTTTTGGCAATAATAATGTAGACATTTAATTTTTCTTATTCATAATCATAAATTTATCATACATATTCTAATATTGTCTAGGTTCATAAGTTTATTTAGAAAAATTTAGAAAACGTTTATATGTGGAAAAAAAGTGCTGTTTTTAGGGTTTTGCCGGCAATTATTCGATTTTTTAAGCCGTAAGAAACATCCTTGGACTTCAACGAACATTTTAAAAAAGAATTGGCCAAATTGGTCCAGACGTTGAATTACGCGCTCATCAACACATTTTGCGATTCATTTTTATATATAAGATTTACAAATGACCACATATGGTCATATGGTCTTATGTTTGTTTAGTTGACAGTTGATATTGACCAATCACATCAACTCATTTGAAATGAATGGCAACTTGCAATAGCAAGTTTTAAGAACTCCAAAATATTTGGTTTCGATGGTATTCCATCTTTTTTATACGTGATTGCTCATCTACTCTATCTGATCCACTTGCATTTTTATTTAATCTATCTTTGCGTACAAACACTTTTCCAAATTGTTGGAAAATTGCACGATTAATTCCAACTTTTAAACAAGGTGTTACATCAAACATTACTAATTACAGGCCGATATCATTATTATCAAACTTTGCTAAGGTATTTGAAAAAATTATTTATAGAGAACTAATTCCTACTGTTAGAACTTTAATTTCTATTAATCAACATGGTTTCATGCCTGCCCGTTCTACGATAACAAATTTAATTTGTATTAAACAATATATAGCTGAGAATCTTGACATCAATGGACAAGTTGACGTTATTTACACTGATTTCAGTAAAGCTTTTGACAAAATTGATCATAGCATTCTTCTTACTAAATTATCTAAGATTGGTCTTAATTCTTCACTTATTCACTTTTTCAAGAGTTATCTTCATAATCGCAAGCAGTTTGTCTTTCTTAATGGATTTTTGAGCAACATTGAAAATATTAGTTCAGGAGTTTCTTAGGGATCCATTCTTGGTCCACTATTATTTATTATTTTTATTAATGACATTTCTGATACTATTAACTGTCCACATTTATTATTTGCAGATGATCTGAAACTATATCTCAAAATAAATTCTATTGATGACTGCTTATTATTACAGTCTCAACTTGACCTTTTCCAATCTTAGTGTATCTATAACAAATTACATCTAAATATATCAAAGTGCAAGATTCTTAGTTTTACACATAAGCGCGTTCCAATACTTTTTGATTATATAATTTCTAACACCAGCATTGATAGATGTAATAAAATTTCCGATTTAGGTGTTCTATTTGATTCTGGTTTGTTTTTCACAGATCATGTTACTGATATTTGTAATAGAGCACATCAATCTTTAGGTTTGATACTAAGAAATTGTAAACAATTTAAGTCTACCAACGCACTTCTTTGCATGTACTATTCTATTGTACGTTCAAAATTAGATACGGTTCGATTATTTGGTATCCTCATCATATCAACAACTCTGATGCGATAGAGAAGGTTCAGCGAAAATTTCTGAAATACCTTTATTATAAACATATAAAATTTACCCTGAACGTGGCTTTGACCACAACACTTCACTAAAAGAATTTGGTATTCCTTCCCTTGCCTCACGTCGATTTATCTGTACAATTATGTTCTTATTTAAGCTTAGCAATAATTCTATTGACTGTCCTCTTATTCTCAATCAACTATCCTTTGATGTTCCAAGGCTATCTTCGCGTTCACAATTATTTTTCAATTATCCTACCCCTAAATCTAATTCTCTCTTAAATTCGCCAATTTTACTAATGTCCTCTAACTTTAACTTAATTAATAATGAAATAAACATTCACAACACTTCACCTAATCAAATAATCTCAATCTGCACAAGTTAATCTTTTTATTTTCTTTCAAATATCTCTTTATTTTCTGTTTATAAATATTATTGTTACATTCTGCATTATATGAAATTTTATCTTAGCATTTTATGTTACTAACTATATATTGTAATTTTGTATATATTTTAATTGTTATTCATATGTCAAATAATTGTATTTTTGAGTCCTCTTGGAGAAATCTGTGGGCTATATATTTAAATAAATAAATAAATATGTGTAGCAATTACAGTTTTTCACTTTAGAAAATTAAATATAATTTATCTTTTACTTAGTTTATTTGCAAAATAACATTATTGTTTTATTTTGTTATTAGCAAAAGATTGCCAAAAATTGTCAGAACAAGGCGGCCATTGCAACCATCCTCACATGGACAAATACTGGTGCTCAACCCATTGTTTCGGAAAAGATTTACTCATCCCTCTAAGTTATTGTGGGGAAGAATGTTGTGTTTGTGAACTTGACTATACAATGAATAAAGATACTTGCAAATGTGAAAAAGCTTAAACATACCCAAAAAAATTAAAATTGAGTATAAAAATTATTATTGATTGATATGTTTCTCATGAGCACTTCTATGAAAAGTAAATTGTAATAAACAAGTGGTTATT